TAGTTCTTGAGACATTGTGTAATAGGTACATATGAGCCTACATCCCTCTTTGGTTATGCCTTACAGGAAACTCCCAGTGCTTGAGCACAGTTCCCCAATACATCGTAAGCGCTAAATAAGTTTGTTGGATGAATGAATGAAGAAAGAAAAAATGGATAAATTAGCAAGTTTAAGTAGAAATTTTAGGAAGGTGAATCAATGTTTTCTAGGAGGGCTTTCCCACAATGGGTTGCTCATCTCTCCACGTTATGGCCTTTATAATTAATGGAAAGACGAGGGAAGGATGGCTGAAGACACGCTATCTCCCAGATCCTTTTCACATGCTGGCACATTTATTTTAGTTTTACAGATGAGGAACCTTAAATCAAAGAGCTCGAGTAACTTACTCAAAGCTCTCAGACAGTACACAGTAAAACTAGGATTCAAACACCGACCTCTTCACACCCCAAACTTATGTTTCCCCTTAGATGACATCTTCTTTCTAAGGGATTGTTTAAGCAGAGACTAAAACACAGTCTAAGAGAGGATGGAGAAGAGGTTCCTGGAGTGGAAGGTCAGATTGGAGCACTAAGATGTGTGTTCAACAGAGTTACAGGGTTCTTGGAAGAAGAAATTATGCCATCCTCCATACCTCTGCAAACTTAATACGTAAAGAGGGTTACAATGATAGTCTTAAAAGATGATGACTCATCTGCTAGGGCAAGTTTGGAAGTACAGATGGAAAAGAAAATGTTTAAGTTTTTCAGCTCAATGTCTATAAAATGAAGTTACTGATCTTTAACTTCTTGCTGAAGTATTACTTCATATTTCTAAAGCCAAAGAGTCTCCTTTGTGACCAACGACAGAAAACCATCTCCACCCTCCATTAAGACCCTGATTGCCCCCTTCGTACGGCAAGTTGGCATCTGTGTTAAAAAGCAATTACCTTTCCCTTCTAGTGGAGTGGTCAGCAACACTTAATTAATTCTTTCCTTTTAAAGTTCAGCTTGATTACTTCCTGGAGAAATTCCAGATTTTAACAGGTATACCATCCAGATACAGACTAGGTTTAAGAGATTGGAGGTAGGACCCTGTTTTGCATTCACGTATCTGAGGGCCCCTGGTATTAATCTGAGATGTAATCTCAGCCATGTAGCAAGCTGTATGAATACCTGCGGCTTGGTGTTAAGATAAAAAATTGTTCTTAGTGGCCTGTGACCAAAAACAGAGTCCTCAATCTCAATGAGCCAACATCTTAATGTGAAATTTGAGATGAGACTGCTAAAACACTTGAGATTTACAGAAGAGGGAATGAAGAGAGCTATTTCATCAGAGTAGAAAGAATACGTTTTTTGAAAATGAGATGCTCAAATGAGGCCTGTGGAATGAGTCTGCTTCCCTTTGCCACGGTGCTCCGCGTCAATTTAATACTAAGGAAAAGTGTTTTTCTCACTTCTGGAGCATAAATATTCCTTTCCAACTTCCCCATTCATCTCTCTCCCTTCCGTAACCCTGCTTATTTTCTTTATTCTGGATTTCACCGGCTATTCCATTCTACTTCTTTCTTTGCTTATTTTCTGCTTTACTTTATTTATTGTTTTGTGAAAACAGGTATCTAGGCTGCCTTGTTCTCCACTGAATACTTAGAGTTTGGAACAGTTCTTGGTTCATATCAGATACGCTATAAATATTTTTGGAATGAATGAATGATGATTGGATGAACACATTTTTCAATTAATAAAAAAAAAGAAAACCTCAGGGAAAAAGAGATTTCTACTCACCTGCACCACACCTGTACAGGAATCCAGAAAGATGCAGCCTTTGGGTTCTTTGGATATTTTTTCATCTTTGTAGAAGTTCATGATGTAGGAGTTATCTGGCAGCTGAGTCAGCTGGAAGAAGCGCTTTTTGAATGACTAAACAAAGGGAAAAAACATAAGGAGGTATGCACGTTCACAGAAATTAGTTTTTCTCATTCTGTCAAGAGTGTTCCGTTTCTAGGGCACTGCTCTAGAGAAGAGTATCTCCCTTTCTCATAAATAAAATATGACACCAAACACAAATGCAATGTAAATGGCTCTCTTCTGTTCTGTGACCGAAGGGGGCATGTCAAGAAAGGGGGCGTGTCAAGAAAGGTGGCAGAAACACAGATGAATCTTGATGGCTCCTTACCCGAACAGTGACGGTATTATTCACGGTGCTGTTAAAATTGCCCTTGTAGAGCCACCCAGACTTGAAAACGCCGGTTCCTCCCGCTCCCCCACCGCCCTTGGAAGACGAGTGGGAAGTGGTATCCTGTACAAAAGGCATCATTAGCATCACAGCACTCGTCTGTGAATTCCAGATCTTAGACACTGCACTTAAAACCGAGACTCCTTTTCCTCTCTTTGACTCATCTTAAGCAATCATGTTCAATGTCAAAGCAAACGTGATTCATTTTGCCTAAAAGCCCTCACACCCACAGCTACTGCAGCTTTACGAAACACTGGGCAGAATTTGAAACACTCTAGTGAAAGATGGGAACTAATTATCCTCATGTTTTAAACATTCCACTTTCAACCATGTACTTACTTCATCCTTATCAGCATCTTCATGGTCAACTTCAAAGGAATGTGAAGGAAGTTTCTCTGGTTTGTATTCTGCTCTGATATTAAAAAAAAAAATTCTGATTTGTCATTTGAGACACTGCTTTCAGCTGTTCCTTGGGTAACAGCTATTGTGTTGGCTTCCTTACAGGTTTTTATGAAATAATGTAATCTCGTGAGGGTCCCATTTCTTTTGGAAGTATTAACTTTCCTCCATAGTATTATATCTTATCTCCAATAATAAATCTCCATCTTAAACCACAGAATTAATATTAACACACATCCTTTTTAATTAGATGAAGGCAAGTGGGACAATTTTAAAGGTTTGATGATATATATTTTCCTTCCTCCACATTTTGAAGTAGAATGTAAAGTAGTGATATTTTCACCTTTTTTTTTTTTTTGCTTTTATGTTACATGCCCAAGAGTACAGTCATTTGAAGAACCACGTTCCTGAGAACCAACCTGCACTCTGGCCACTAGGCTGCGCTGCTCCCCTAACCGTGACCTCTCCCCAAAGTCTGCACCAACATGACTTAGGGGCAAACTGTGCTTACTTTGGGCATTTCCATCATAGCACAGAAATGCTTTTATGTCAGAGCATCACTGAAAAACCCAGAGGAACAAGAGTGTACACTTGGCTCTATAAATGGTAAAAATAAGACAAAAATAAAATTTCTCTGGCTAGATTCTATCTAATAACTCATGGTTGAATGGAAACCAGACAAGATCATCTCACATTCAGGCATTCCCTGATACCCAGCTAGAAAACCCTACATGGAGAATTTGCATGGGTTATTTGTTTTCTTCCAAACGATTTCAATTATGTGGAAGCAATCTCAGAATCTGACTATGGAGGAAAAAAAGCCCAGGAGCAGATTCAATATTCTCATTACAAACAGTTTCCCATGTTGATGGTATTCCAGATAGGAAGATGAATGACCGAGGGCTCTTTATACTTAAGTATGCAAAACATCTCCCGACCGCGCATCCACAGAGGGATACAGTGGATTCAAATGGATTCAAGTGGATTCAAAATATTCCTTACCCTCCCTCTGAAAGACATGACAATGTCCATTCTCTGGTCACAGCAGGGAAAGTTAGAGCACAAAAAGGAACACTGTCCTCACTATCAAACTGTGGAAAGCTTGAGATCAGAACCACAGACTCCATACCTGATCAACATTTTTGTTTTCTGTTGTGGTAAGATCTACGTAAGAATTACCATTTTTACTATTTTTAAGCATACAGTTCAGTAGCAGTAAGTACATTCACGCTGTACAACCAGCACGTCTGTCCATCTCCAAACCATTTTTATTCACAAAACTGACTCTGTACACATTCAACAGTAATTCCCCATTCCCCCTTTCCCCAGTTCCGGGTAATCCTTGGGCTACTTTCTATCTCTATGTACTGGATTATTCCAGGGACTTCATATGAGTGGAGTCATGCAATATTTGTCTGTTCATGTCTGGCTTATTTCACTTAACATAATGTCTTCAAGGTTCATTCATGCTTTGGAAAGGATCAGGATTTCATTTCTTTTTAAGGTTGACCAATATTCCATCGTAACCTGATAAGAGTTTGTGCCCCCACAGTCATTTCCACGAAGGTACCCTGGATGTACAGAGTTAGGACTCTCTCCCTGCCGATGCTGAGTGTGCATATGCATCTTAGGATGCTTGCCCTATTCTGTTATCTGTGCACCTGTCTTCTCCCTGCATCAGATTATATATTTCTTAAAAGCCAGGGACTCTAATGAAGTCCCGTCTACAGCTCATCCAACTTTTTTCTTTCCTGTTGTGGACATGCTCAATATGCATTTGCTGACTGAATTATTGATAGGCAAGATGAACAAGGATATCACAGAAGGGCAATAATATGAAAAGGTGTAACTTAAAACTTTGGTTTTGGGAGGCATCCCAGCGATGCTCTTTTTAGCAGTAAAGCACATTTTTGGTGATCAAAATCCTAAGAGGCCCCTCCAACATGTTAAAATGATTTTTAAAAAAATCTTATAAATAAATAAATGAAAGTGTTACTTGCTACCAAAATTCATAACTACTGAAAATAAAGGTATTCTGGAGTGCACAGTGTTTGATATTGACTATTCCCATAACTGGTGTCTCGAGTCTCATTTCAGTCTTTATTCCAATTTCTGTCTCTATTTTGTTTTGGTTGCACAGTCTCGATAGGACATCCCAAGACCCACAGGTAAGTAGTGGTGAATGACAACAGTCTTATTTAAAAGCCAGAGGCTTGAAAGAAGAGTGACAGGAAATGTGTATTTCAATGTTATCACCACCACAGGCTCTGACACATGGTTAAGTGCTCGATAAACATTTGCTAATTGATGTATATGAATTTACTTACGTGGGTATGTGCTAGTCCAGCATTCAAAAACATAATTAATACATCATACAGCCTTCCTCATGCATCACTTATGTGCAAGTTCAAAGAAGTTCAAAAATACACACCAAAATAGCAGAGACTTTGTACTGAAGTCTACACTAAGCAGACTAAGGAAGTAGCACACTGCTTTTTATTAATTTATATATGCATATAATCAGTCATATGGACACAAATTCTGGGGCTCGATGTCTAGCCTAATCTTGCTATTTTGCTGAGAAGAAAATGAAGTCCGTAACAGTTACCCACATAAACTCACAGTGGAAAAGGAGCTCTGAATCCTTATGCCTGAAATGCTACTTCCTGCATTTAGGATAGGTTAATCCAAACCATCTTTAAGAAGCATGTTAAGTAAGATTGCAGCCATTTTTCTCTCTGTACCTGTAGTTTTTTCTCCTTCTTGCAGAATCTTAGAGACACTCAAGTTTACCTGTGTAAGCTGTCACTGATGTTAACTTGTCCTGCCTTTTCGTTAAGGTCAACCTCATGTGAAGTAGCAGACCACACTGTTATTTGGGGACCACTGGGAAATGCTTTATATCCCATCAAAAATACTCCTTTTCTCCTTAACAACATCTTGACGCTCCTTGAATCAGAAGCAGTCCCTTTCACCTCTTCACTTGATTGGCAAAATAAAGCCCTTGAACCCAGCCTTTCCCTCTACCCCTGCTCCCCTGAGAGGTGATACGTTGACTGAGATTCACAGGCAGGTTCAAAGGGCTGATTTCAGAACAATTATTTGATGTATTTTTGTCTGC